GTAGGGAAGAATGTCCTTTTTTTGGTAACACACCATACATGCAGAGGGCATGTGTTGATGAAAACTAGTTCCTGTAATTTCTTACTATAGATACTGAGATGTTTTTGGTTGTTTTCAGAGGCAGAGGAAAATTCGTGATGACCATAAATCATACTATGCGATTAACACTGTTTATGTATATGGACAAGAGAAATACTTGCTGGTAAGAAATTTTCTGGCATATAAAGATTATTAATTATTGGGTACATTTTAAATGACTCTTAGAAAACATAATTAGATTTAATTTAATGGTTTTTGTGTGATTTATTTTTTTACCTGGTTTATTCATTAGAATTAATTTTAATTCCCTTGATCCATGTGGTGATTACATGGGTGTAGATATAAGTAAAAATTCATCTATCTGTGTGCTTAATTGTATGTTATACCACCGTAAGAAAGTTAAAAAAAAAAAAGTAAATCCTCTTTGCTCTTTCTTCCACTTTTATTTTTTAAAATTATGTCCTCTATTGTTGACTAGAAATTAGTTTGAAGACCTTTGTGCAGGTGTGGGATAGTTTAATCTGTAATTGAATCAGGTTGTATCTATTTAGCAGGGAGGAGTGTATTTAACAAGTGTGGTAGCCTAAAAAATGATTGGAAGAATGGTATGACTGAAAAGATAATATGAAATAGTAAAAAGAGGTTTTATGTTCTTTTTTGATCCAGTCTGATTTTGGTTTGAATGCTGGTCCACCACTGATCAGCTGTGTGACCTCAGACAAATTGCTTATTCTCTCTGAGCCTGAGTTTCTTATTAAGTTAACTAATATGAGAAGCTCCTGACAAATAATAGGTACTAAAGAAAGTTCATTCCCTTTTTTTTTTTCTTTTTGGAAATAGTTTATTCTGCTAGACAGATAATCACATTGAATTTTATGCATATTTTGCTCTTTATGATAAAAATTCTTTGTCAGTTTCTTGTTAAACCTGTGTATCTCTCATTCTTCTCCTAAGTATAATTCTGTATATTGGGTACTCAGTAAATCTTGCTGATTGTTAACTTTCCAGTTTTATTGTTACAACCATTCATTGCAACTTGATGTCTTTCATGTCTCTGAATATCCATGCTCTAACAGTGTTTTATTTGGAATATATTGAGTCACCTCTGACTTTACACTTCCCCTTTCTTCTCCTCAACAAAGAAGCACTATCTTATAAGCTCAATACTGAATTTTAGGCTTGTTGGATCATTATCATATCACAGATGGGATGTTTCTTTAGAGATTTTATAATAAACATTGAAAAAGAATAGGCAGTGAAGTAGAACAAAATAACCTTAATGTACCATCCTTTGCTTTGTGGTTTTTTGGTTTTTTTTTTTTGCTTTGTGTTTTTGATTGGTGGGGAGGAAAGGTGGTGTGGTAAAAAGAAAAAAGACTTGGGAATCATATCTGAGTTCAGTTTTTGGTCTGATGACTAGTTAGTTGTGCTATCTTTGGCAGTTGACCTAAACTCTTTAGCCTGTTTTCTTATCTGTAGTATGTAGAGAATGTATGTAAAGGGCCTGCCTAGCACACTTTAGTCACTCACTAAATGTTAGTTTCTGTAGGACCTTAATCACCATTTTTCATCTTCAAAAATCAGAAACTACTTGTTTATGTATATGTCTTACTTCCAAAAATAGTCTGAAAATTTATGCTTAACTAGTATTTTTAAATTAGGAAGTCAAGTTAAGCAAATAATAAAACATCATGACTTTAATTTTACATCAGTGTTATGATACTTATGTTTCTGTCTTTTTCTTTTTACAAGTTGCATGATATCTCAGAATCGGAATTTCTAACTGAGGCTGAGATCCTTTGTGATGTTGTGTGCCTGGTATATGATGTCAGTAACCCTAAATCCTTTGAATACTGTGCCAGGATTTTTAAGGTTCGTTGCTCTTTTGGTCTAAAACCAAGTTTAACTTTATAAGGAGTTTAATGGAATTGTAATGTGGTGTTTTCTAACCAGGGAAATGCAAGAAAATTATTTGTGGAGCTTTTCAAAAATACATACGTTTGTGTCCTATCCCTAAAGGTTCTGGTTTCATTCTGAGGTGGTAGAGTTGCAGACATCTGTATTTTTAAAAGTACTTTTTTCCACATGTGACTCTGATGTGTGTTCCTGGTTAAGAACCTCTGCATTAATGGAAGGTCTTAGGAATGCACATGGATTATATGTTGCCCGTTATACCAAGAATAATAATAGAGCAAGGGGATAAACCAGAGGCTTGAAAAGTTATTAGTTACTTTGAGATTATCAACAAGATTCAATAAGAGTAAAAAAATATATATGTACGAAGGAATTTACTCTAGCATTGTTTTTAATAGCATAAACCTGGAAATAATCCAAATGTCTAACAATAGGAGGATAGTTTACCAAATTGAGACAAAATGATCCTATGAAATTTATGTAGCCATTAAAAATAATGGTTTTGAATTCTGAAAACATAGAAAATTCAGTATTATATTTTTAAATGGTTATGTCCAGCATGATTACAACTATGTAAGCATATATATATATATGCATGTGCTTAAGGACTAGAGGTAATATCAAAAAATGAAAATAGTGTGCTTTAGGAGGGAGAATTTAGGTAGATTTCTTTTTATTTCAAAGTATTGTTTCTTTTTGAAAAAAAAAATTTTTTTTCAAATTGTAGTGAATTTGAAGAATTGTTATAGGTTTATATTGTTACCAGCATTAGAAAAGTGGCCCTGGTCTTATTATGCTACTGACGTAGACAACTGCCAGTCTTTGCCTCTTAGTTTACTTCCTCCCTGAAACTGTTGATGCTTTGCCTATCTAGAGAAAATTTTTAGTGCCCATTTAATTAAGTTTAGTAATTTTTGAACTTGTCATCAGATTTTGATTTCACTTTTTATTCTGTAGCAACACTTTATGGACAGCAGAATACCTTGCTTAATCGTAGCTGCAAAGTCAGACCTGCATGAAGTCAAACAAGAATATAGCATTTCACCTACTGATTTCTGCAGGAAACACAAAATGCCTCCACCACAAGCCTTCACTTGCAATACTGCTGATGCACCCAGTAAAGATATCTTTGTTAAATTGACAACAATGGCCATGTACCCGTAAGTACTTGCTCTGCCATGATTTTCGTTTTGCATGGTTTGTGGTAACATTGCATGCCTTTATTAGCCATGAGGGTGGAATCTCTGTCACATAGAAGTTGTTCAGCAACAGAAAGAGACTTTGTAATGAGAAGGGACAAGTTTGAGTAAATGCAGGTTTGGTTTGGGTACCAGAAGAAAATTATATCAATGGTGCTTCTGATAATATTTGACTATATTTGAGCAGGCTGTAACTATCTTAATAGGATAGTGCGATAAAACTCAGCCTCTCACCCATCATTAAAAAGATAGTCTTACTGCAATAAAATGGAATTGACATCATGCTAATAAGGCATTTCCATATGAACAAAAAGTTAACTTTTATATTTTTTCTGCTGATTAATTGACCTTGAGTATGTGAAGGATTCTAAAATCTTTTATGAATTTATGTTTAAATTATGGGTATGTTTGAGCTCAGGATATAATGTCTTTTTTTAGTGCTATAAAAAGTAGTTGTAATTGGGATTCCTTCTATATAAATGTTTTATGTTAAGTGTTATGAGCCACAAATTTTATGTACATTTATTGTATATCTCTACATGCATATGCACAAGCACATAACTGTGGTCATCTTTGTAGTTTACTAACTGCCTTAAAATTGCATGGTTCTTAATGGCATTCTCCTCAAGTATGGTGTTTGTATAAATTCTGTTTTGTGATAAGAGTTTTTCAGGCAGTGCGTTTCTCAGGACTTTACAGTTTATTCTATTATTATGTTATTCTCTAAATTATTTTTCTTCTTATGAAAAGTACAGTATAACATAGAGTAATACTCAAAAATTGCTACAAGCTAAGGTTTTTCAAAAGGTTGTTAATTTGTGCGGATTTTTCAAATCAGTTAACTTTATTGCTGTTCCGTTAACTAGTACTTTAAAAAAAATGCAGCAAACCCTTGAAATTCTATTTGTATTGGAAGAGAAGTCATTCCTTCCTATTACTGTTAGATAAGCAAAACCTTACTTTTTATGTTTACCTTTGCTTTAAAACTTTCGTGTATGTTATCTACAGAGAGGATCATTACAGAGACAGACTCTCCCGAGACATGGGCAACACTGATAGAATAGAGAATTTGAGAAAAATCTGGGTCTTTCTAAAAACTGCTTTGTAAGTTACTTTTTCTTTATGGCTTCTATGGCATTTTGTTGACATTTTCTTATAGATGACCAAATCTTTTTCTCCATAATTCACATTTAGTAATTATCCAGAAACGCACTGCTTGGTCAGGCTTACTGCCTAACTGTATACTATGGTGTCTTTCTTTTTAATATGTAAATGCACTGTCTTAATCTTGTAAATAACTGCAACTGTGTTTTTAGATCTGCATCCTTAAAATTTTGCTGCAATATGTGTGTGTGTGTGTATGATAAATGTACATACATGGACACTTGTTTTTATGGTTAATCTGAAACTACTTCTCATGAAGCATCTCCCTGTTGCTAAGCATACTTTGCATCCCTCCTTTTTGGTGGGTGGAGCCTGTATATGTTGAAGAGTCAGATTCAACTTATAAAATAACAGATGGATTCCAGTATGACAGCTGGCAGTGACTTAGTAGCAGTGATATGTTCATCATCACAAGTCAGATTTTAAAATGGAATGTCTTGAGCCTGTAAGAGTCTTTTAAAAAATTAATTCTTGTTTTTCTTCATGTTGGGAATTAGGCATTATTGGGATGCTGCTAATCTCCACAACCATGCCACCGTGTGCTGTGGTCTCATCAGATCTCACAAGCTAAGCCAAGTCAGATTGGGCCAGTCCATTGACTGAGAAGCCTCTAAAAAATGTTCAGGTGTTACAGGAAGTGATGTAATTGATTCTTCAGGTGGCGCTCTTCTGAGTGGGTTCTGCGCCAGTACCTCTCCAGGGGTGGTGTGATGGCCTTGTCTGTCTGAGTGGCTCCGACCACTGAGCAGTCATTGGAGACCCCCTACTTTGGTTGTTAGAGTGGAGGTGAAATGGGCTGCCCCACGTGCCTCTACCAACTAGTGCAACTCACTCAACCAGAAAGGAGTCAGAAAGCCTCCCTAAATTTCATATCTAATATCAATTGGATCCATTGTTGATTTTTTACACCCTTACTCAGAGTTTCATATTATCATACTTGGCTGGTGTGTTTTGCTAGCAGACGAAATTAACCCTATATTTTGGGTTCAAGTAGAAATTTATGAAGCACTTTGATTTCCTTTGGGAGCCATGGTGCTTGATGAATTAAAGACGATGTTGTTCATATCTCCTCAGGGTTGAACGTGCTCGTCTTTTGACTCTTGTGTATTTGTCACTCTTCTCCTTCCTGGTTTTCAGGCATGTGTATATACTGAGGGAGGAGGAGGGGGTGGTTATTTAAATGCTAGCAACTCTGACCTTTTGGTGGGTGCTGTGGCTTACTCAGTTTTTCTTTTATTAATTTAGATGAGGGTGCCATCTATTGCTGTGCATATTTATTCCACTAAAACCCTTGTACTAATAATTCTATCCCCCCTCCAAAAAAGCAAAAGTGTTAGCTAATTTTCCTTAGATTTTCTATAGGGAGGGAGGAGGGAGCTATTGCTGTTCATTATATTTTTGGTAAATGTGGAATTCTGCACAACTTTAGCATGCCCCACACTGTCCTTTTCCTTAGTGTTGCTTATGCCTAAATCTTTTTTTTTTAAGTTGGCACACTCTGACTTGTGCCATATTTGTAAGTAAGAACTCAACTCCTGTCCTTCTGTGTGTTTTCGCAGCCATGCCCGGTTACGCTGTATGTGCACCTGCAACAGGTGTACATTTTGCATCTGTCAGAACTTCCTCAACTCAGACTTGCTGCAATCTGTAAAGAACAAAATCTTCACTGCAGTTCTTAACAGGTTCTTAACTTTCTTTACTGGGTACCAGGCATTCTGTTAAAATACAAAAGAAAAAAGTGGTTAAATATTTATTATACAAAGACAACAAGCTGACTGATGCCCAACTAACTTCCATTAAAATTCTCACTATGGTGACAATGTTTAGTTCTGGAATCATCCTTAATGTTTAAAAATTAATAGATATATTTAGGGGACTATAAAGTAAGATTTTAGCTTTTTTTTATTAAGGAAGTTAAAGTATTTTTTATATTGGGGATAATATATGTAGGGAGATTAAAAATCTTTTGGCTGAGAGTTGTAGAAATAGATTAGGGCTTTAGTAAGGAAAAGACACATTGATTCCAAATGTTATACTGTACTCAGCTTGCATTCGAATAGTACAGCTTATTAAAACCATACTTACATGAGCGGTATCTTGGGTTTGAAAAACTTCTCTATTGAAATTATTTATAGTTATAATGTACTTTTACTTTTAAGTACCTGGAATGTTTTTTTTAAAATGAAGATAATAACCAACTTTAAGGATTCAAAGGAATATAGAAAAGAAAAAGATCTATAGTACTAGTTTTTGAGGTCTTTACAATTGAACCCAAAACATAAAGTATGCCTAGAAAGTAATATGCTTTTAAAAAAGAAAGAGAAACAACAACAAAAAAGTAGGTTGTATACATTCCCTCAGAGCAATAAACTTGGAAGTTTATGTTCTTATTCTGGTCATGCTACCTTTCTTTGTTCAAATCGATTTTACATTTTGTGAACATTTAAGAGCCTATGTAATATTAATTTGTATCTGATGTCAAATTTTTATGTGTCTATGAATGAATTACGTTTTTGAAATCATTCAAATGTCATTGGGAGCAGGGCTTGATTAAGACAGATGATCAAGCTAAACAGATTTTGGTTAGAAATGGATCTTATTTGGGTTACTCTTGGACTCTTACTGAGGGCTAGGCTCCGACTGTACCAAATGAGTAGGATAGTTTGTGTCCACCAGCAGTGTAGACATGGCTATTAAACAGTGAGGCTGTATCTTATGTGAGTCAGAAACTGACTCTGAAGACATTCCAAAAGAGTTTCAGTGATGTTTTGAGCACTAGTAGCTCTGGAATAAGAATGCAGCCATCATAGGTGATTGCTTTGAAGGGATCGCTGCGCTCATTTGGTGGTGAAGTTCTGCCTCTGTCTTTTGAATGGCATCTTATAAAGAGTAACACAGACAGATTTGCTCATGACAACTGTCGGAGAAAGTGCAAGGCTAGTTCAAACCAAACAGCATTCAGGAGCTCCGGTGTTGGAAATGGTAGAGTTGGAAGAGATTCTAGAATTCATCTGGCCTAACCTCCCATTAGATTGCCTTCCTGCGAGCCTTCCTGAGAGAGTACTGTTTATCTGCTGATGGCTTTCCTCATTGGAGAAGGTTTTCGCTTTTGCCTTTTTTTTTTTTTTTTTGGACTAAAATTATTTCCCTATAACTTTCTCTCCTTTAGCTTTAGTTCTGCCCTTTAGAACAACATACGACTATTCTACTCCCTCTTCAACATAGCCTTCAGACATTTGAAGACGGCCGTCATGTCTCCCCTAATTTTCTCTTCTCCAGGTAGAACATCCCCATTTCTTTCAGCCTTTTCTTAAATTGGATGGTTTAGTGACTTCATCATTCCTGGTTTCCTCAGCTGAAAGCCCCTTAGTTGTTCAGAGTACCTCTTAAAAAGTGCCACTGAGAATGGAGAACAGGGCTCCCGGTGTGATCTGACTAGTCCATAACGGTGGGCGGTCATATTCCACAGTTAGGACAACACCTGTCTACTGCATGAATTAACTTTTTAGCAGCCCCAGCCCACTGTTGATGCATATTAATCTTGGGGTTGAAATCAGATTTTCTCATACAAAGTGCTATTAAGGCAGTGTCCCCTCCTCTCTGTGTATTTGACAGTTTTAGTTGGCTCTTTGTATCTAAATGCGGATACATATATATCTCTATTGAGTGTCATATTCTGCTTTTTGATCCATTGTCCTAGCTCAGTCATTTCAAACATTATTTCTGTCATTTGTCCCATTATATATATTTCTCGGCATTGTGTTATTTGCAAATTTGGTAGCTGTGTCTTCTTTATC